GGAGTGGATGTTTCTCAGCGTGAACGAAACCCATTGCTTTCACCATCTTTCACCTGTCGTGACGTCGCAATCGCTCGAAGCAGACGGGAGACGGCAGGTCAAAAGCGAGCCAGAACTGACCGCACCGATTGGAGCCTCGGCAGAAATCAGTCTGAAGGCTCAGCTCGTGCTCTCCCTCGAGCTCTGTTTCGAGCGCCAAGCACAATGAAGGCCTGCAGCAGCCGTCAAAAGCGCCACCTCATCTCCAGAAGTGCTCTTGATCTGGGAGAGCATGTGTCGCCATTTTCCAAGCTGGGAGCTCGTTCCCAGGGTCCAAGGTATGTCCAAAGCCCTGTTTGCCGAGCGAGCCAGTTTGCAGCACCTCTCAACGATCTTTCCTGACTTGCCACCGCCGACTGAACGCCCTTCCAGCCAGGGTCGGGACGCAGTGTCAGTGCCGCCCGGGCTTCGCCACCGGGTGGAGAAGTCCTCTGCCGAAATCGAAGGTCTCTGAAGCTGGTCATCAGAAAGGATAACAGCAGAGAAAAAACGACCAGCACATGATACCACAAGGGCTGTTTTGCCGTCGCACCGTTGTGGGGTACAGTTCGCGGTCGAAACTATTGAAGCAGTTTAAAACTGGACTTGTCGAAGAGACTTCACAGCACTAGCTGGAGGCGTTCAGCAGTCGTGTCCGAATCGTCATCACTCCACAACTGGTCCACAACCTCACAGACTGTGCATCTGACAAAGATCTCAGATGAAGATCAGCAGCTGCTGCAGCTCTGACCTGAGCACAAGTGCCCTTGAGAGGTTTGGAGGATCCACGGCACACGGCCTGCTGACTGTGCTAACAGCATACGACAGATGCAGCTCCGTGTTCCGAGGGCTCAGCTCAGTTCGTGTTCCTGGGTGAATCTTCACGGAAGGCTATCGACAAGCTGTGCTATCAGCTTGCGACCCTTCATCATGGTTTTGGCTAACATGATACTGCACGTAGATTCTTGCTCAAGTCCGTTCTAGCTTCCTGTGGGCCCGTGGGGCGACAGGATGAATTGCAACCAGGGAGCGCCAGATCAGCACAGCTCTCTTTGACGCGGCTGACCATGGTCATTTCGCACCTCCAAAGCTCACAAAGTTCGAGTCGAAACGCGAAACGGCTTGCTGGGCTGCGGACTCGCGGATCCACTTACGAGGGTCGTAGTAGCTCTTGTTCGGCTTGTCCTGACACCGCCGCCGTGCAGATCACATCCACTACCCACCGGCCATCACTTGAAATGCCGATCTGGTGCCAACAGTAGATATCAAGCAGGAGCAGATCATTCATCCAGGGGCTCGTGATGCCGCTGGATTGCCACCCTCTTCTTGTATGCAGTGCTTTATGGTACTTGCTTAGATTCAGCGACAGATGCAGCAACCAGACTGCGATGTGCATGCGCTTCGGCTCTGCTGTAGCGACTCAGAGAGAAGCACTTGCGAACCCAACAATGATTCTTGTTATGGGTGGTTTCGAACTATGTTGTTGCATGTTGTGCATCGATGAGATTATCGAGGGTCTTGGAATAAGTGGAACACGTCATCATGGCCCTGACGCCGACTTCCCCGCTTCCTCGCCCTCGGGATTGCCGATCTGACCCTGGAGGTAGCCCTCTTTGGCCTGACAGCACGCATGCAAAAGCACTGTGTGGACGCGGCTGTTCTCTCACTTATGTCACGAACTTCGCTACTTGAAAACAACAGGCTGAGTCAAGCAGCAAACACCTGCCAGGGACGTGCCAAGCCTTGTAGAACTTCAGCAAGCCTTCCCAGTATGCCCACTGAGTGTCGGTGTCCTGAGGTACATGGAGGACTCGGTACAAGCCCAGTCGTTTAATCACTCCAAACTACGGCATCTTGGCTGGCACTGGATACCGGTCTGAGTCACTAGACATCAACGCACAAACAATCGACAAGCCTGGCACATCCGATTGATAGGGGCAACAGAACGAAAGCTGCTGCGGCATTTAGCTCCCTGGGAGGTGCCAGAGCGTTGTTTGCATCCACGGGTCCACGTTCATCTTCACAACCTTGACCGCAGCACGGAATATTACTCCTCAAACATGTCGGCATGATTGAATGGCTTCCCTGTTCCTTCTGATAACTCGTCCGTTGGCCGATCTAAACCAGAACTTGATTTGTTCCCATCCCTTCTGCCGATGCGAAACCCCAACGACAAGACAAGAAGCTTTCATCACAGGGTCAGATAAAGCAGGGTGCAGTCGCGACTTGATTCAACGAACCCCCGCGTTGGGCATGCTTTCAACTTATTCACTTTCTAAGGTCGCCACCCCAGCATTGAGCGCAGTTGTGATGTGATGCTTCTCGGATCCAGAGCCACCATGGAAAACCTCTGAGCGCAGGCCGCAGACAGGCAACTCTGTCGTAGCGACTTGCGAATGTGTCCTGGCACTATGGCAATCAAGAGGCAAAGTTGAGTGGCTTCGCAATGTCCTTGCCCTCTGCCTGCATTTCTCGTGGGTCAGAGCATGTCCGTAGCATGGCATGTAGCAGCTGGTCTTCTTGTCTGCAGCTCGGCCTTTAATTTCTCGCTGGCCTGATCACAGCAGGAGAAGCGCATGAGCACCGCAGCAGCTCGCAGCGTGGACGGAGTCTCAGCGCTGGACATACTTCTGGCAGTCAGCCAGCAGTTCTGGCTTCAAGACCACATTGCCGGCCTGTAACGAGACCAATGTCTGAGGCCTGCGTACCCTCGATGAGTTCGCCTGAATTTCAAATCCAGGGATCTAATCTACTCCAACTCGTCTATCAACACTTTCCCTGACTCGAGAGTGAAGCTGCGATTGATTCCTGATCCACGGTAGGCTTCGAGGCCTCGGAAGCCCCAGAAAAGGAAGAAAGTCTAGACAGCTCCAGACTCACCCCCCTCTGAAGGGAAAGCACCAACAAATGCTTCGATACATAGAAACTTCCAGCGTGCAAGGGTTGGTCAACCTCCCGGGCGAGCTTCCTAGAATCTGAACCTCCCACGGAGTCTCCCAAAGTCGGTTGCCTTGTAGACTCCATGGACGTTGCCAAAAGCGGCTGCAATCGTGAACATGGGCGAGATGGGATTCAGACCTGCATAGACTGCCCACACGTCCTGCGGGACAGCTTCCGACAACCCTGAGCATGCTTAGCTACAGTTAGAGGCTTCCAGCGGCATCAACCCACTCCTCGGGGGTTGAGTACAGCTTCTCCTTTGCGGCTCCAGTGTTGTCCACCTGGGCAACGGCAAAGATGAAGCAAGAGCATGGCTCTACGAAGAGGATTGCGGAATCCCAATGTCCAAGTAGCCCCGTCTTCTACACCACCTGTAATTCCAATCTCCATCTCCAGGATGATCTTCATAGGAGACATTCGGGTCAGGTATTTCTTGCAGATCCT